GAGCTCATCGAGAAGGTAACCTAGGCCTCCACTCGGCACCCTCTCCCCGTGCCCTCTGCTGCTCACACTCACCCGGATGCCTTTTGCCTTGCCTTCAATCCAGCCCATGGGCATCTTCTCCATCCTGGAGGAGGAGTGCATGTTCCCCAAGGCAACAGACACCTCCTTCAAGAACAAGCTGTATGACCAGCACCTGGGCAAGTCTGCCAACTTCCAGAAGCCCAAGGTGGTCAAAGGCAAAGTTGAGGCCCACTTCTCGCTGATTCACTATGCTGGCACGGTGGACTATAACATTAATGGTTGGCTGGAGAAGAACAAGGACCCCCTAAATGATACTGTGGTAGGGCTGTACCAGAAGTCTTCCTTGAAAACTTTAGCTAACCTCTTCTCTGGCGCTCAAACTGCTGAAGCAGGTAATGTGAAAATGTCTGACACTTAGTGTAGCTATTACAAATTTTATGTTAGATTGAAGCTGGTGATTTCATACTCCTGGAATGTTTGCAGGCCAAACCTTTTATTCCTCCAAGCATTAAATAGACAGGGTGCATTGTAATATACATGTGTACCTCACCCCACTGCTGACAGGGCCTCTACTGTAAAGGGTCAGAGAGGAACTATCATGTTCTCAGCCAATGTCTCAGCTTGTATAATTCTGTCCTAATTCTTCTGTCACACTGAGTATCTGCGGATATTTAAGAGATCCTTGTGACTGCCTCTCATGCTGGCTTCTGAAGGTTTCTGAAGTTAATGTGTCCCCAAATGTCCTAATCTCCATGGTGAGGTGAATGCCTTTCACATAATTTCTCAAAGGAGAAAGAATCATAGAAAAGTAGGTGAAAAAATTAACTACAAAATAAGATTCAATCAGAAATAGCAATAGGGTGAGAAAATGCTCTCCTTGATGATCATAGAAATCAGAAAATAACCAGGACGTAGCCCTGTCAAAAATTTAACTGCATTACTTCTTTTCTTTTCTTTCTCACCAGAGGCAAGTGGTGGTGCCAAGAAGGGTGGCAAGAAGAAGGGCTCTTCTTTCCAGACAGTGTCTGCCCTTTTTAGAGTAAGGAAGAAACTTTTCTTGACATTCCCAGCACAAGGTCTTTTTTCTAGGAGACAATAGGAGAGCACTAATATAAACTAATAACTCCTGATGATGTAACTTTGGAGGGAAGGCATTTAAATTACTCAGAAACTATTATCTCATTTAACATGCTAAGTCAAATAATGAATAATATTTCACAGGAAATTTTATAAAACTTAATGCTATAGTATTCATAATCTAGTCATGACAAGGAGCAATGACAGGTACAGAGAGACTAAAAAACATCAGCAAGACAAAGGAAACCTAGCAGCTAATCTACAATGAAGCTAATGTGGTAGCCTTGTACTCAATCCAATCAGTTACAGATAGTGAGTTTATCTTCTTAACGTAATCTTTATGCTTTAAACATTAATAAAGCTTGAAAGAGGGAGCTTTATTTATGAGAAAAAGTCCAAATGTAGCACAGACCTGCATTTCCTTGAGAATTGTGAGGTTTAGCAGAAGACATTGAATGGCTTTGGAAATTTCTTTGGGTGACCACAGACCAGGGTAGAAAGAAGGATGGGGCTGGTATAAACCAAAAAGGAGCACATGTCAGACTGCTTTATATGTATAACTCCTGCTAACTCAGATGCAGAAAGATATTTGAGGAAGAACTATATCTCATGAGAAGTATTCAAGGTGTTGCCTTAAATGAAAACAGTCCATATTGGTCATTGAACCCATCTATAGAGATTGATTTTTTTTTTTGGTACCAGGGATCAATATAGAGATTGATTTTATAGACATCATCAACTGCTCATAACCACGTGAGTAGTTTGAGATGACAAGATTGTTCCTAATTTTACAGGAGAATTTGAACAAGCTGATGACCAACCTCAGAAGTACCCATCCTCATTTTGTGAGGTGCATCATCCCCAATGAAACTAAAACTCCTGGTAAGAAGTTCTGGAGTGAAGGCACAAAGCACAATTGCCACAGTGCCTTTTTCATAACTTTGCTGTGAAATAAATATGTATTTTCAGGTGCCATGGAGCATGAACTTGTCCTGCACCAGCTGAGGTGTAACGGTGTGCTGGAAGGCATCCGCATCTGCAGGAAAGGATTCCCAAGCAGAATCCTTTATGCAGACTTCAAACAGAGGTCAGACTCTCCTGATTATGGTATATTTTGAAGTTAAGTTTGGGCAAATTCAATGCAAGCAAATTAATTTAGTAAAAAATATGCCTCTATTTGTTTTGTTTTTTGGAGTTTCTTTGGTACCAGGGATCAAACTTGGGACCTTGCGCTTGCGAGGCAGGGGCAGAACCACTGAGCTAAAATCCCTGGCCCTATTTGTTATTTTTTAACTTGCTACAAAGAAGTAAAAATTATAAGTGCCAGAACACTTTTAAAAGATAGGTAATTTTAAGCACTAGGAAGAATTTTTTACCAGATTTTTTACCGAGAACCTGACTTAGATCATAGATGTGCACACCATCTTCAACAATTATGAGAGCTACCTTTTTCACTACTTAATATGTTTGAATACAATCATTACCTCACTTTATAGATGAACAAACTGATTCTCAGAGAGATTAAATTATTTGCTCAAATCACACAGTTAATAAGTGGCTAAATTAGAAATTCTCCCATGCAGGTGGATCCAAATAAGTCATTTTCTTTCACTTACTTTTATTTCATCTCTTTATTTTTTTTCACATATTGGCCTCCAAATGTTTCCCAGATCATCTCTTTATTTTTTTTTCATACATTGGCCTCCAAATGTTTCCCAGAAACAGAGGGGACATGTCACAATGATGTCTCCTTAGATCCCTTTTCTCCTCCCTAGATAACCCCATTTTGGGATTCAGAGATGAAGCCTGGATGTGCTAGAGTTGACAGAGAATGCCAAAGTTCAAGATCAAGGCACCTTAAGTGTGCTTTTAGATGATTAGGAAAGTTCCCCATATCCAAAGTACCTTCCACCAGATTCCTTAATAGAAAGTAGCTTTCTTGGACTCAGGATCCTAAAAAAGCAAATTTACCTAGCAAAGCAAATGCATTGCATTTTATAGGACATCTACACCTTATGTGAACAAGATTATATACAATCCTTTCCTGAGACTTAAGCTCAATGTGGAAAGGAAAACTGCAACTGCGCAGAAAGGGAAAATAGTTAGAAATTGATAACCAACAGGTTGAACATCCATGTAAAAAAAATGTCCTCCCTGTGAACTAAAAATATTTTTAAAAACTCCAGTTTTAAAAATGAATCACTTTAGTTTTAGCTACTATTTTTTTCATCAGTTAATAAGGTTTTAAAAAATTGTATTTACTTTAACAGATACAAGGTATTAAATGCAAGTGCTATCCCTGAAGGACAATTCATCGACAGCAAGAAAGCTTCTGAGAAGCTCCTTGGGTCCATTGACATTGACCACACCCAGTATAAATTTGGTCACACCAAGGTAATGTCCCCCAAATCCAACCTAAGCCTTTCCTGTCCCTTCTACCTTTACGTAAAGTTTCTGATCTGCACCACTTCCTATGCACAGGTATTTTTCAAAGCTGGTCTTCTGGGGCTCCTAGAGGAGATGAGAGATGACAAGTTGGCTCAACTGATTACACGAACCCAGGCCATGTGCAGAGGGTTCTTGGCAAGAGTGGAGTACCAGAAGATGGTGGAGAGGAGGTAAAGAAACATTGTTTATTCACATCTTCCCTCTTCAAAAACACATTTGAGATGGCTTACAGTTAAGGCTCACCACTAATAAGGAGATCAAATGAGAAGGAATGAATAAGAGTTTCCTAATGAATGGGAGAATACTTAAGGATCATGACCATGGCCTATATTCTGAGTGTTTGAGTAAAGAGTTGAGAAGCATCAAGTGTGCATAGCTCTTATCTAACAAGAGAAAATATACTAATGAGTAAACAAAGATAAATTTTTTGCCCTAGCATTTGGTTCTAATATGAGTTTATTGGATAAATAATTAAATAAAAGATAGTGAAATGAATAAAAATACTTTTTTTCCCCCATACTGGTGATCGAACTCAGGACCTTGCGCTTGCAAGGAAGGCATGGCACCACTGGAAAAATACTTTTATACAAGACACAAAAACAGCTTCTATCTGATCATTTATATTGACCTATCATGATCTAAAATATTAAGGGCATTGTGAGTGAAACATTTTTTGCAGTAAGTTAATACAAATTAATACATTAATGAATGTAGCTTCTTCATGATCTAATTTGATGCAGAAACAGAAAGTAAAGACTATAGAGCTGGATATCTCAGACTGCAAGATGCATGTGACCAGGACCTATCACAAGAAATGCATTTTACATTGCCCCTTGTATATCTACACATATGTGGATATGTATATGTGAATATATAAGTAATTTACACAAAACAAACTTTCTTTTTGCCATTGCAATTACAGTAATATTTTCTATTGTGTCCTATTTAATTAAAAACAATAAAATTTGGTCATGATCACAACACACACACATATGTGAGTAGCTAATTATCTATAGGTGAGTAAGTAATTTTTAAATAATCTAGATTTAAGTAAATGTGGTATTATAGAGTAGAAGGCAAAACTTGCACACTGAAATATAAAACCAGAGATTGTCAAAGTAATTCTGAAGGGTTTTTTTTTAAATCTCATACCCAAAATTCCTCAAAGGTCATGTTCTTCTTTCACTGCCTTTATGGTATTGTAGTAAGAATATTTGAGAAGCATTACTGTAGAGTAATGGTCTTCAAAGGGTGCTCCTTGATTCACACGATCATCATATTTAGCAAATTTGGTAAAAAATGCAAAATTTCTGGTCCTACCCTAAATCCTCTGAATCTGACTCTATGAGGGCAGAGTCTAAGAGTCAGTAATATTTTTTTTTTTGGGTACCGGGGATCATCAAAAAACCTTGCACTTGCGATGCAGGTGGTGGAACCAAAATCCCCAGCCCCAAGAATCAATATTTTTAACAAGTCCTTCATGTGATTCTTATGCATGCCAAAGTTTGAGAAGCAATGATGTAGAGAAATGAATAAACAGCAAAACCTTGACTATCACTCCAAAAGATAATATCTTTAATCTGCACATTTGAAAGCAGGTGAGCAGATGAGGAACAGGCTAGGGGCAGAATCTTCCAGCCTCACTGCTAAGATTTTATCTCGTCTCATCATCCACATAGTACCTAATTTGCATCCATTGTATTTCAGGGAGTCCATCTTCTGCATCCAGTACAACATCCGCGCCTTCATGAACGTCAAGCACTGGCCCTGGATGAAACTCTTCTTTAAGATCAAGCCCCTACTCAAAAGTGCAGAGACAGAGAAGGAGATGGCCACTATGAAGGAAGAGTTCCAGAAAACCAAAGACGAACTTGCCAAATCAGAAGCAAAAAGGAAAGAACTGGAAGAAAAGATGGTGTCACTGTTGAAAGAAAAAAATGACTTGCAGCTCCAAGTTCAGGCTGTATGTTGGGGTAATATCCTGGGTATCACTAATCAGGATTCAAGTGCTAGAACTCTAGCCACTAAGGACCATGAGCTGGATAGTGTGCAGGGAAGATATGCAGGGAGGTTAGAAAGCTCTAAGGTCCATGTATTCCTGAACTGCCCAACACATCTCCCCAAACTGGCACCATGGCAATGAGGTAGAACTGTTCATCTCCTTTTCTATTCATTTTCATCAAAGTACAGGATTTATGACTTATTTTCCCTTTAAAGGTAGTCTCTGAAGTTATTTTAACATGAAGCAACCCCAAATAAAATGTTAGGAGGATAGCATGGACCTAATTGTTTCTTCTGAAACTTCTTTGAACATCTTCTTTAGGTACATGAGTCTTAAATTACAATATGGACAGCTGACATATGGCTGCATTCTATCCCAAATTATATTGAATTATTGTTTGTCATTGACCTCAAAAATTCATATCCACTCTTTCCAATCCATGTCTTCTGTCAGGACCCTATTATATCACTTCTAGATTGCTGCCTTAGCACCCAACTTGCTCTGCCTCCTTCTAAGTCTTTTTTATTCTATCCAGCCTACTCATTGCTCACTCCTGGTCCAGTCATTTAGAATGGCTTCCATCAACTCTAAAATATAATTTATAAGTATGTCTTTCATGTGGGTTGAATTGAATTGGTCTGTTATAATTTACTCATCACAGAATTGTATTTTTTTGTTTTTAAGATTAGTCTCTCCTGAAAGTTTGGGCAGTGTAATAACTCCTTCAAGGTTATAGAAAGAAAAATAGCCTTTAACTGCCTCCACCCCCTTCAAGTTCATCCCAAATTATTTTCTGTTCTCCCCAAAGATTTACACAAAATTTATCCTACACCACTGTATTCACTGCATAGCTATATGGAGCTCATCATATTTTTTTATGCATTCAAGGGCTGATATGTAGAATGACTGGTAAATATATATTACACGTCACTTTCATTTCCTGCCTGATACATTCCTGTATATGAAAACAGTGTGTTATCATGAAGTTTTTTATTATTTTATGCCTCAACTTGAATCTAGAGCACTATAACAAGAAACATCCTCCACTACTACTACAAAAAATTTCAGTAACAACTACATTCTTTGGGCAGGAATCCTTCCCCTGCTCCTCCAAATCTTCTCCTTAATAAGTTGATTTCTGCAAACTCAAATCCTACCCATCTTGCAAGGCTCAACTCAAATACTACGTCTTCCATGAAACCATCTCAGATTTAACTTCTCTGATTTTGGATTGACTAATTGTTCTTTATATTAATGGTAGCTTTTGAGAGATAACTTTTCTAATCTATACTCTTCTAAAGGAACAGGACAACAACCAATACATTTTGGTTTTCACACATATGAAAAATGTATTGTACACAGCAGGTGGTTCATGAAATGAAAGTCTGTGAAGGCATAAATTAGTAAATATTAGAAATCCAAAGGAACAATGGCAGAAATTTAGATTCTTGTCATTGTAAAATATTTCATTTCTTTATCTCAATTTTGATTTTGTTTCTAACTCAAGGAAGCTGAAGGCTTAGCTGATGCAGAGGAAAGATGTGACCAACTGATCAAAACCAAAATCCAACTTGAAGCCAAAATCAAGGAGGTGACTGAAAGAGCTGAGGATGA